ACATTGTTCAAACAGTTGAAGCATTTAAACTTAGTTGTCAAGTTTTAACTTAGTTAACAAGGTTTGCTTTTGATTCACCTTTTACATTAATGATCTTTATAATACCTCAAGTTTAAAAACAGCAATGTTTGCTGATAGTAACAATATCTTAACACTATTTAAATGACATTAAATTCCACTTTTATTTGAAATGAATATTCTTAATATATAACAAAAAAAAAATTTTAATGTTCTTTGCTTTATATTCAAATTTAAGATAAACTTAACTCCTATATTATATCAAAATTTATATGCAATAAAGCCCAGAAATAAATATGATAAAAGGAAACGATGATTGTAATTATCAACATTATTGGCTTACAAGTTTTGAAAGGTCTCTTATACAATATAGCAAAGCTTTTCTGTCGAACCAAATAGTTTTTAAAAATTTTGATTATTCCCAAAGTTAGAACTTTTCTTTATTCAAAAATGAACTGAAAAAATTTATTTTCTCAAAAATAATATATTTGAGTTCGACCCTCTATCATAACTGTTTTCTAAACATAATTTGATTGTACTTTTTATTGTTTTGTTAAACGGTTTTTATATTAAAGATGCCTATTTTTGTTTGTACTCTTTTTTAAATGGTATTTACTTTTGATTTTATAATTTTTTGAAATATTTATTATTATTGTATAGTTAAACGGCTATTGGTGACAAGACCTAACGATACTATAAAGTTTCCATCTTTTTATATATTATGTACAACAACATTTTGCCAGAAAATATTGTTATAATGACTAAAAAATCCTTGATTCGGATTTTGTTGAATAATTGAATATTTTTGTCAACACTGTGTTCTACTAACTCAAGGATTTCATCAGTCACAAAGATTCTTCTAGCATTTCTTGTATACCTTATATATCTTATATATCTTATATATATCTAGAGCCTTATAGTGAACGAATTGCTCATCAAGATTTTCATCAAATCTTGACTAGGTGCAAACCAACAGTAAACATCTTTGAAGAACTGTATAGTTTGAGTTATTAGAGATAAGGCACCAGAAAATCATAGCTTATAGTTTATAATGCACACTTTCATCAACTTGATTTGAAATTCTATTAGCTTAAAAACTATAAACTTTAATATTATATTTCAAAATGGTATGTTATATTATTTGTACTTAGATTATATTTATATGAGCAGCCGTGGCGCAGTGGTCTGAGTTCTGGCTCAGATCCCAGAGGTTCGAGGTTCTACGCCAGCTCTAGCCCAACAAGTGACATTGATACGGAAGGAGGCGTGAACTTCCTGTTAAATGCTCTCCCGCGGTGCTCTATGATAAGACCGTAAGGACTTCTGGGAGCACCTATATAAATACAAAAAAAAAAAAAAAAAAAAATATTAAGCTTTTTTAATATTAAAATATTTTTTCATAATAAACAATTTAATATTAAACTTTTGTGGAGAAAATCAAAGAAAATGTCTTACAATGTAAATATGTCCAATTTAATGGTATTGTAATGTAAAAATTAGGGCTGTTTTTTTACTTATTTTTGAATGTAAATGTGTTTCATAATTTCAAGAGTCGACAAAAAATTTGACAACATAGAAGTATTTTTTGTTTGTTTTACCAAAATAAACAAAACTTAAACTGAAACTGCCGCAAATACTTAACTAATTAACCAATCCGATTGATGCTTTATCAAGATGTGGTGCAATGTACACTTGCACCAATTTTTATTAAATCATATAGAGTAGTTCAGATTTTACAAGAGTTTATATTATTGGTTAAATTCTACAAATCCAATTGCAGAGTAATAAGTCTCGAACTCATTTGTCAAATATCAGAGTATGGCTTGGCTACTTTTACACAGAACTGTGAGACTTTAGCTGTGTTATGCTGAATTGAACGCTGAACGTCCTAAGATGAAAGCCAAACTAACACTGGACATGATAAGGAAGAAGATTATATGGGTGAACCAGGGCTGTGGAGTCGGAGTTGCGGAGTTGCGACAATTTTGGCGGAGTTAGTCGGAGTCGAAGTCGTATAAAAATATTGCGACTCCGACTCCGATAGTAATATTTTTTGGTATTGCACGTGCATGAAAAAAACATTCAATTAACCTTAAGTTCATACTAAACCTCAAAGAACGTTGCATAAATTTGTCAAAAAAAAATTTTAACTTATCGCGCAATATTTTTTAAAGAATTCAAAGAATTTTTCAAAAATTTTGCTATCGAGTTGGAGTCGGAGTCGGAGTTGGAGTCGGAGTCAGAGTCGGAGTTGTACTCAAAAAATTTCAACAACTGGAGTCGGAGTCGGAGTCGTTACTTTTATTTTTACGACTCCACACCCCTGGGGTAAACTATTACAAACAAACGACTTCTGACGGCTCGACAAAATTACCCAGTTAACCGTTGTAACTGGGACCCAACTGGGGAAAATACTGGGACCCATCTGGGTATCCCACATGGGTTCCATTGCGATTCTGTCAGTGGCATCCAACTGGGTCTCATCTGGGATAAGTCTGGGTTTTTGACGGTAAATCCCATATTAAACCTAGGTATTTTTTCATTTACCGCGGGTTTTTCCAATTTTTTATAGTTTGTTTTTCGCAGATTTCATTGTCACATTATTTCGCAGATCTCGAATCTGCGAAATAATGTGACAAAGTTTTGATTAAAAAGCGTCGCATTTTTTATATAAAATTAAAAAGTAAAGGTTATTTATATTATCTATATTACATTTGCTGTCAGGCAATAAAATGTATTAGACAATTGAATATTTGGTCTGACATCATTTTTACGAACCAATTGAAAAAACAGATTTGAATTTCATAATATTTTTAAGCAAAAAAAAACTAATTTTTTACAATGATTTGATGCAAAACTGTTCTACGATAGTAATATTCTGCCACAGTAGTTCTCTTATATCGCCACCATAATTGAATGACTAAAATCTGCTTTATCTGCATTTCGCTTCTTTAGTGCTTTCATTTTAGTATATATTGATGAAAAAAGTTTTAGTATATATTGATTAAAGTTCTGATTTTAATCAAAGTCAAAATCAGAGCTTTAATCAATATATACTAAAACTTTTGTAAAGATTTAGAAGTGTATGTGTTTGAAATTCATCCAGAAAAAAATTAAGTTTTAGCAATTGCTACTAACTTTTTTTCTTCTGATTGGTATTACGGTTTATTTTTCACCGATTGTCTTAACTGACGGATCGAAAGTATCCAACAAGTAAAAGATTAAGAAGAAAAATTGTTTATTTTATTAAGTAAAAATTTGTTTTACGGACATGCAGCTATTAACTAAAAACTAATTTTTGTGGTAACATCTCATGTCGTGCAAAACACGGTTGTAAGAATTTGACAGCGTTTTTCAAAAACGGTTTTTAAAATACGTGATCTTTTTAAACTGGTTAGAATGACCATCTTGAGTGGCCATCTTAAATCATTTTCATTTTTGTTTTGTAAAATTTTGGAATATTTAAACGCTGTTCATTTTTTGATGTTAAATGGCATAGTAGTTACCCAGAAAACAATAAGTCGTCTTTTAAACATATAAAAAACGTCTAACACGTTTAAAAGATTTTTTAAAAACAATTTTTTTAGACCAAATGTTTGCTGGGTTAGCACCAAACTTTTTACGCTTTCTATACTTAAAAAAAATAGCTTGTACTTTCGTTTGGGGTCTCTTACATTGATTTTAGACATATTTTTTGCTTCAGAATTTTACATATAGTCGTTACACTTAATTTACCCCAAAGTGTATACTTTGTTTAAAGTCAATGTATAAACTATATTCTTACCTTCAAAATAAACAAATTAAAGTGACAAAACGGCATCGGATAAATAGATGGAAAAAAAAAGAAATAGTTGAAACATTCATTTTTGTTTGACCAAAAAATACTTTTAAACTGATAAACATATAAACTTACTACTGTATATCAATAAACATATTGCATTATTTGTCTCTGTATATCGATAAATGTATATATCTATGTTTATATGTATGTATACATGTCATATGTATCTCTCTCTTTCTCTCTCTCTCTCTCTCTCTCTCTCTCTATATATATATATATATATATATATATATATATATATATATATATATATATATATATATATATATATATATATATATATATATATATATATATATATATATATATGTATATATATATATATATATATATATATATATATATACATATATATATATATATATATATATATATATATATATATATATATATATATATATATATATATATATATATATATATATATATATACATATATATATATACATATATATATGTATATATATAAGTAAAAGTATTTCTATTTTTTGCTTAAAAAATTTATATTTATGAGGTATATATTTATGTCGTTTGTCAGGAAAAAATACAATAATTGTCTCCTGAAATAATTTTCAATTTACATCCAACAACGGGATAAAAAATTATAAAATATTGATTTAGCTTTTTCTGATTTTTACGCAAAAATCATAGCGATTTGTTTCAAAAATTGCCTGTTACAAATAACCTATATAACCGTTATGAAAAAGGAAGTTGTCAAGCAAATTGTTCTTAGAGTTTAAAATTGTTTGTCTGTGCATTTTAATTACTGAAGTATCAATTTATATATTACATTGTTTTAAGACAACGTTTTGATAAAAAACTGAATTCTAATAAGAAACCATGCTTTCAAAGTGTTCATTAACTTCAATAACATTTATCATGTCTTCTATCATGCTTGTTTTTTAAATAGTTTGCCAATTTTTTTGAACCTTGTTAAAATCAAGTTGATATGTATGACGCAATTATACTTACATCTTTATTACCGGTTTTCCTAACTATATTTAATCGGAAATTATCAAACAGCGGTTGTTTAAGCTTTACATTTTATTTAAGTATTGCTCAAAATTTGTGACAGGAAATTGTTTTTGAGGCTCTTACATTTAGTATAAATAAGTGACACTAAAAAAGGTGTAACAAAACATTTGGGTGCTTCAAATAATGCCACGTATATTCCTTCTAAAGCGATATCCTCTTTTGAGGAAAATTGATTGGTTCGAACAAATTTTAATAACAGAAGTTCAAAGTGAAAGACGCAGTTCTTTAGGTTTGTAAAAATAAATTTACTAATATAGACAACTGCTAGAATTATTAAAAACAATCAAGAAATGAAAATACAGTAATAAAACACATTTGTTAAAAATTTATTGAGATAATTTTTTAATAATAATTTTCAATAAATTTTTAAATATTGAAAAAGCTCACTTTTTGAAACTATTTTAAGAGATGATGGAACTTCAATATAGTAAAAAATTCCTAAAGCTAGAAAAAAAATTATTAGTTTTGAACATATTTGTTTTATTTATTTATTTTTAGCTTACAATATACTTATATTTTAGTATATAACCTTTTTCTCTATATAATATTTACTAGAAACAATAATTGGTAGAACAAAATTTAAAGTTAAGCGTTTAATGACATTTAGATAGCCACATTTGAGTGATTTCTCAACATAAAAATTTGGGAAAAAATGCCTTAAATTTATTTTAAGTGGAAACATTAATCTCATCGCAGTTTCGATTCTTTTTAGTTTTTTTTTTCTTTTTTATATGTCTATTACGTTTTATCAGTGCAGTATTGTTATACCCATCATACCCCCTCCCCCCACTCTCGAAATTTTTGCATTTGGTTCATAACATTTCCTAACTACTTTATTCTTCTTTATTCATTTCTTAAAAGTAATATATATATATTTTCGTGAGCTTTACTTTACGTAAAGTCTCACGTTGTAGTATTTAGAATAAGTTTTACATGCTCCAGCTTGTTAAAATGGCTGTATATATTTGATTTTGGTACCGAAATAATCTATTGTCAATACCAATGCAAGAGCACATAAATGAAATTGCAAAAAAATTAAATTGTATTTGATCATTCTTCATTAACCGGAGATTTTTAATTTCTTTTTTGTAGTTGATAAACAATATATTTTAGCGTGTGTTTTTTTTTTTTTTTTTTTTTTTACTTATTTACCCATATTTACTGAAATTTTAAAATATAGTGTTTTTAAAAATCATTTAAAATGTTTTGAGAGCATAATTTTATTGAGAATAATTTTAAAATTATTAATTTTAAAGTTATTAAGCATTAAATTGTCGACCAGAAGAACAAAAAAAGATTATTTTCAAAACAAAGTTTAACTCGAATTCAAAGATTTTTTTATTAAGGATATTTTTCCAATAATAAAAGTCTCTCCTTAGTGAATATAACACTCGTAGAGATTTCACCGATTAAGGCAACTTAATAGACACTTATTAAAAAGCTTAGTGCTAAAAGTACTTAAGTCGCAAAAAAAATATTTTGAGAAAATCCACTTTGATCAGAGAAATAACGCTTTATCAAGCGTTGACTTAAGTGACTTAAGTACTCTTAGTTCTAAATTGCTTAAATTACTTAAGTTTAAAGTAAGAATTTAAAATGATTTAAAATGGCTGATCAAAGTAGATTTTCTTAAAATATTTTTTTTTGTGACTAAAGTACTTTTAGCACTAAGCGCTTCAATTAGAGTACTTACATTTGTCGAATTTGTTCATAAATTGAAGCGCTTAGTGATAAAAGTACTTTAGTCACAAAAAAAAATATTTTAAGAAAATCTACTTTGATCAGCCATTTTAAATCATTTAATTTGATCAGCCTTTAAATCAGCCATTTTAAATTCTTAAACCTCTTCAATTTTTTTTGAAAATTAACAGCTTTTAAGTTAATTTTTTTTTTAATTTGCAATTTTGAATGCTAAATTTACAAAATTTACAAAAAGAAAACTTTTAAGATAAAATTGTTTTTTTTTTAGATTCTTTAGGAGAGGCATCAAACACCTCTTGTACTTGTTCAGAATACGAAGATGATCGTGTATTTTCAACTGGAGCTCCTCCTCCATTGATTCCAGATAACAAGATTAAACATGCGCAAATTTTGTCAAAAAGATTCGAATACAATGAACCATTTTATAGCTGCGCAGAATGCGGCAAAAAATTTTATCGTTGGACAAGTTTAACGACCCACATGTTAATTCACACTGATGAAAAACCATTCCAGTGTACTTATTGTGGAAAAAAATTTCTTCGTAAATCTGACCTCAAAAAACATGAAATGATGCATACTGGAGTAAAACCTCATCAATGTACCATTTGTGGGAAACATTTCAGTCAGTCTTCAAACATGCTGACTCATATGCGACGGCATACTGGAGTTAAACCGTTTTCTTGTCAAAAATGTCGAAGAGCATTTTATAGAAAAGTTGACTTACGAAGACATGTCTCAAGACACATAGAAGATTAATACAATATGCTTGATTATTGTTTTCTTCAGAGTTTATAATAATAATTAATAATTAATCTTATAAGTTTAATATAGCTATAATTAGAAATGTATTTTTATAATCATAGTTTTATATTTAAAAGTTTTTAAACAAGTGTAAATCTAAAAACAAGTTAATCCATAAAATTTCATAAAGTTTATATGTAAAGTTTATTTTGAAAAAATAAAAAGATAATTAAGATGGTTTTTTCGTAAATTTTCCAATACTAACTAGTTTTTAATTTTTTTAATTTTTTTTTTTTTTTTAATTTTTGTTTTTATGTATATTTTACTCATAATACATATAATTGTTATCACATTTTTTCTACCAATTTTTCCTTTTTAAAACAAATATTTTTTTAAAATTAGTTAATTGAAGTCTCTTATTCTAGCGGTTGCTAGTGATAGAGTCGGCATTTTTATTTTGCATAAGCGCCAAGTGCGAATTTTTATTTTTTAATTTATTACAAAATAGTTTTTCAAATACCACAACTTCTAAAAAAAAAATTATTTGTAAACTTTTTAAAAAATCTATTTAAATTTTTAAAATGTTTAAGTAAAGTTCTTTTTAATTCTAATCTATTAATTTTTTTAAAATTAAAAGCTAGAATTTTCGTCTAAACAGTTAAAATAAGTGCAACAATATATCAAAAACATATAACTACTTGGTCATTGGGTTAAGTTAAGGTTATTGTATCTAAAATATTAGAAACGACTACATATTGTAGGTTAGTTACACGCTAATTACATTAGAGTTTAACATGGAGAGTACTTTTTACTAAAGGAAATAACTTAAATTATACTTTTCTACGGAAAGTAATTACATTTTTTTAATAATTTAACAAATTGTTATATTGTAATATATTGCGAAACATTTCATCGACAGCATAAAACATATATTGTAATATATTGCGAAACATTTCATCGACAGCATAAAACATATATAATTGCATTTTACAACATAGATTTATATACAAAGTAAAACAAAATATATTTCGCGTTTAATATTTTAGAAATTCAATAGAGTTTGTGATAATAATTGATAATAATTCTTTTAATTATCATAAATGATAATATATGATAATTTATGATAATTTATGGTTTAGAAAATCAAGAATTAAAATCTTTTAAAACAATTAAAGTAACATAGAGTTTTATTTTCTTAATTTAGATATAAAACTTTTTGTCAAAATGCAAAATGTCGAATAAAAAAAGTATCTGTTAGTATCGGCTGTTGAAAAGAATTATCAATTAGGTATTTAAAAGAATAATCGAATGGGCATTAACCAGAACAATTGTTAGGGTATTGATAAGAATAACCGATTAAGAATTTAAACTTAAATATTCTTTTTTGCTCTTTAATTAAAACTTTTTTTTAAGTTTAAATGATTTATTTTAACCAATTAGTAGACATGTTATCCTTTAATTGCTATTATACTGCACGATTCTATAAATACATTATTATACTATGACATTCAAGCGTTGCATAAACGTTGTTACTATGTTGCACAATAATACTTCAGCGTAAAAACTTTATCAACTTTATCATATTATAATATGTATTATAGAGTTTGTAGATGAAATGTGTAACCACTATCTTTAATCAATGAAACTGGTATTAGACAGCAGCATGTAGACTTTGAAAGCAGTGTTGAACTGCATAATCAAGCGCTTTCAAAAAATAATTTTAAATATGTAACAATACAGAATTGTTAAGTTGTGTTTATATATATATATTTTTTTATTTATTTGAATTTTTATGCCATATTTTTCTATACATTGTTATATCCGAAGATATTGTTGGTTTAGCATGAGAACAGCCACAAATAGTCATTAAGACTAATCCAAAGTAGCGTCCGTTATTGACCAATATTTTTGCGTACAGAAAGATTAGCGACTATTTCAAAATGTTCTAGCTCTAGGGATATAGAAGTCACTGGCGGGCCGGTGTCAGTAACACATTGAAGATTTGATAATTGCTTTTATTGGCTTTCGTTTCTGAACTGGTGTTGGCTGAAAAACTTAAATCAAAATTCCGCCATTATACAGTGGGCCAGAGTTTAGTTTTTTAGTATATTGACTTTTTCACTCATTTGCAATCAAAATTCAAACAAAGAGTGTTTACTTTAAAATGCTCTTGATCAATTTCTTATATCTTTTAGGCCGCCTTAAAGTCAAAAAGTTGTTAAATTATTTTTGAAAAACTGGAAATATTAGGAATACAGCCGTGATATTTAAAAATAATATATCCTTGGGGAATTTCAAAATTTTTCAACATATTCACCTATAATTTTTTGATTAGTCTAATAAAAACATTGTTTACTCTGACTACTCATTTACCCCTACCCCCGATTGTTGCACGCTGACTAAGGTTGATTATAAATACTAAATTTACACAAAAAAGAAGACGAAAGAATACAGGTTGGCAGTTCCTATAGTAATCAAGGCCAACTACGCCGGGGTCCATGGGCTGTTGTATTCTCTATTTTAAATATGTAACTACCAACTCTTATTTTATTTATTTTATTGATTTATTATAATAACACATATATTTTACAACGAGTATTATATAAATAATCAAAACGCACTACATAATCTTTCTTACTAACTCACGAGTTCTAATGCGTTTCACATGAACACGCTCTTACCAATCTTAATGTTATGTATTTCTTTACCAACTCTCAACAGTTCTCCCTGTTTGGGAAAGCTTCTAATATTATTCAAATAAATAAATCATGTTTAAAATGTTTAATATTAAAACTTTATAGGTCTATCAATTCGCTTAGGATACAATTTTCTTTCAACTATTTTTCTTTCGTCATCATTTATTGGTGTTTCACGTTGTATACTTCCAGCTTCAGGTTTTAAGAGTTTTTTTATAAATTGTATATTACGCGCCAACTCGTTTTCATCTTGATCGACTATAATGGTAAAATTTTGAGTCTAATTTTCCTCCCGGTTTATGGTGTTTTACATGATCCTGATCTCCTACTTTAATGTCATCCCTGTTTTTTGCATGATGTTTTATATCAAAATATTTTTTTATTTTTAATACTTTTTCTCTTGACGTGCTCTCACTTCTTTATCATACGGTGATATTTCAATTGTTAATGAAAGAAACTTATTTTTGATATTTCTATTAAATAGTAACGTAGTTGGTGGTTTTTCAGTTGTAGCATGAGGTCCACATCTATAATTTCGAAGCATTCTTTGAAGTTTCTCTCTCCAATCTTTCCCCATAAAATGTGTTGTTTTAACTGTTTTTCCTATCACTTGCATAAATTTTCCTACGATACCGTTCGCTTGCGGATATCGAGGCGTTGTTTTAATGTGCTTTATGTCAACCTTTTTCAAAGTATAGTTTTAATTCTTTGCTTTGAAATGGTGGCCCGTTGTCACTTCTAATTTTGTTAGGATAACCGAATATAGCAAATAATCTTTCTAGTTTACTTATGATGCTTGAAGTTGTTGTGATTTTCATTATATCAACACATAGGTATCTGGAATAAAAATTTTCTATAAGAAATAAATATTCTCCTGACGGTAATGGTTCGAAAAAATCCGTTGCTAAATCCAAACATGTTCAGGTAAATTCAACATTTTTATTGGTTCAGGATTTGGAACACGTGAGTTTGCTTGACATCATTTTAAACTTTTTGTCGCAATAATGCTTTGCATTTTTCAACATTTAAATGTTCTTAATTTACAATTTGTAAAGCTTTTTTTTTAAGCGACTTTGGTAGAACAATTTTTTACGCATCAGACGAACAAGTCTTGTTTGTCGGATGCGTATATTATAATATCTTCACTGATAAATTTTACTCCTTCTATTCTACCATAGCTTTGCTCCATAGTTTTTTTGAAAAATTTTGAACGAATTGTTACTCCCGTACACTAATCTTTTGTGTCGGTAGTCTCTCTCATCTATTTGAAAATTTATAATTTTTCTTGATTCGACATCCATCTCAACTAATTGAGTATAGACTTCCTTCATGTCTAGTTTGGCAAATATTTTTGAGCCATACATTTCATCTATTACCGAATCTAATGTAGGTATTGGGTATCTTTCTTGTTTAATTGCTTTGTTTATGGTTCTAGCATCAAGACATAACCTTACTGTCTTATTTGCTTTTAGAACAATTACAAAATTACTTATCCATTCTTGTGATCCTTCACTTTACAGTTTGAAGCAATATTCTCAAAATTATTATTATTTTGATTCGTTGGAAGTTTTATCATCAATATTTATACACACGTTAGAATGTTGTACAGCTTCATTTGACTTATTATCCACTGAATTCACATATTTGTCTTTATTAATCACAAACTTGACACTTTCTGCAATTTTTAAAATGTTCAATTCTTTAGCAACTTCAATTCCCATTATGTTTCCAACATTATTTTTATATACGATATATATATTGTTAGTAGTTATTTTGTTTTTAGCTTCAATTTCAGCTTTGAAACAACCTATTAATTTTTAAGGCTTCGAAGCATATAGAAATATGGTTGCTGATGGTTTCTTGATTATTAAATTAGGATTGTTGTTTCTAATTCTTTCAAACGTATTTTTAATCAATTAAGTTCACACTGGAACCTGAGTCAATAATCATTTTTCTAGTGACGTTTTCCACTATTACGTTTATTGATTTTGTTTTATTAGATTGTTTTTTCGTGTTGAACTACATGTCAAGTCAAGCGTTTCTTCTAATTCATTTTCTGAGCTGTGTTCACTTTTAGTTTTATTATTTATTTTATTAACTTGTCGGTTTATCCTATGAAATGGTTGTAGAGTATTTCGGCAACAAATAGCTAAATGATTTTTTTTTTACATTTGAAAAACATTTTTTCAATAGCTTTGTAATCTTTTTGGTGTCCAACAAAGTACTTCTCCCCACATCGAAAACATAAAAATAATTTTCATTTTTTGTCTGTTTTATCATTTTGGCTAGTTCTCGATTTAAAATCTGTTGTTTTTTTTCTTCTTCTGAAAAAGGTTTGCTTTTCTAAATGATCTACTAAGTCAATTTCCTCTGTGCATTCCTTTGCTTTTTTATAAGACATTTCTTTTGCCTGTTGTTTTGACACTTCCATGTTTCGACCAATTTCAATACATTTCTCGAGATTTATATCTATATCTTTAAAGAGTTTTTGTTTTATTTTTTAAAGAATAACACGATGATATGAACTGATCTTTCACTGCCTGTGCAACATTTGGATAGACACTGTATTCCGCTTGTTTTTTTAATCGCGAAACGAAACTCACTGTACTTCTCACTACTCTTCGTTTTTGTTTTGATCTCGTAAAGACGTAACGTTTGTATGTTATTTTTTTTTTTGGACTGAAATATTGATCCTGTTTTTATCAAACATTGCCTTGTATTTATCGGTGTCAGTTCCTTTCAGGGTTTTATAGATTTCTTTTACATCTTTCCCTGCTAGGTGCAGAAGTAACGCTTTTTTTTGCAGGCCTTGCGTGACTCCAGTTGCAGTTATACTAGGTATAATTCAAATTCTTCTTTTCTGTTTGTCTAAATTAGTTGTGTCATTTTGATTTATAATAAGCTGTTCTACTCCAGATAAATTATTAATTACTTTCACCATAGTTTGATCTTTGTCGCCAACTGTTGTATTCTCTATTTTAAATATATAACTACCAAGTCTTATTTTATTTGTTTTAATGATTTATTATTATAACATATATTTTACAACGAATATTATATAAATAATCATAACGCACTACTTAATCTTTCTTACTAACTCACGAGTTCTAATGCGTTCCACATGAACGCGCTATCTCCAATAATAATGTTATGTATTTCGCTACCAACTCTCGACAGGGGCACATGCCCCATTTTTTTTTAATAGAGGACCTTAATTTAATTAATTTATTTATTTTTTAGAAATTTCTAGATATAGAGGACATTATTTTAGAAATCGACGATTGTACTCCTTTTCAAAAACCACGTCTTCGGCCATGGTAATAATAAAGCACTTGCTTTATTAACAGTGTTAATTATTTAAGAATGACTAATAATCATTAGTAGATCATCTAATTTATTAGATTACTGTAAGATTGGGTGGCTTTGGCCCATTAGGGGTCAAAGCCACCCAATCTTACGGTAATCTAATAAATTTTTTTTTATTATCTTACGGTAATCTAATAAATTTTTTTTTATTATCTAACGGTAATCTACAAAATGGTAACGGTAATGACAAAAAAAGATTTAGTAACAAAGTTCTAGTATACAGTAAATAAAATATAGGTACAAACTAAACAAGTATAGGTACCAAGTAAACAAAACAGTTTAGGTTTAAAGTAAACAAAAATGACAATGTTAATGCTTTAAAAAATTTAGTGAAAAAGTTCTGGAACAAAATAAATTCCTCTTTTCAAAATTTTAATTGGTTCCTCAATAAAATCGACTATTTCAGACTGGGGAAAAAAAAGTTGCTCTGCTGGTAGTGACCATTTCCAGTTAAGTCCATTTTTTTTCACAATAGTAATTTCTGCTTCATTTTTTCTTATTTTTTTCAACTGCAGAAAAAAAAATTCAAAAGTTTTTTTAAAATTTTTCAGTAGTTTTATTAAATAATATTAGTTATTAAATTAATTAGTTATAAAGTTTACTAATTGATTAGCTAAATATAAATAACTCAAAATAAACAAACCTGTCCAGGATTTAACTCTCCATTGCATTTAACAATTACATAACAATTCTTACAAGATTTAATAATTTCTCCTTTTAACAAACATTTTTTGTTTTATCAATATTTTGAAAGTTCTTTTTGCCTAATGCTGAATGATCTAAAGATTCTGTATGATTTTCTACATCTAAACTTACATCTGCAAAAATTAGATTAGAAATCTCAGTAGTTCCAGTATTTGTACTTGGGCCAGCAAAGTCAATGTTGTTGGTCTCAATTGTATTTATAATACTGATAGATGTATCTACATTATTTGAATTTAATCTATTATTTTCATTTATAACACAAGATTATATATCTGTTGAACATAAGCTTTTACCTGGGACAGCACATACTTTACGTCGCTTTGGTTTTTTAGAACTATCTGACGTTCATCCAGTGTCTTACACAAATGATCTAAAAATGATTGGCTTACTAAATTAGTAGTTGAATCTAAACCTACATTACAACATAGTAGTCGTGAAAGCACTTGAGACTTGTCTAATGGAAAAAATTCAGTTTTGCAAAAACCAGCTGTAAGGTTATTATTCCCATGTTTATTTAAGTTGGTAATTAAACGGTCTAAAAGTCTAGGAAATTCATATTTAGGAAGAGAACAACTCTCATTCCTTTTCCTTTCTCCTTCCATTCACATAATATTTTGCGCCAGTTAATTTTCATAGGTCTAAAGTAGTTAACATCTAATGGCTGCGTGAGATGTGTAGAGTTTGGTGGTAATGCCACAAATCCTACGTTATTGCTTTGACATGCATCCAGTACTGCAATGCTCAAATGTAAAGATACGTTATCACCTATAATAACACTTCTTCCTCGATCCTTGGTCTTGGAAGAAGTAAGTCTTAAAGTAAGAAGAAAGTCTTGGAAGAAGTAAAGAGAAAAACCAGTCCTCAAAACATGTTGAGTCAAACCAACCACTTTTTGCTCTGTTATAACGCGCTTTTGGTGGTCCATGTTCCATCCATGTATTCCATAACAACTAAACTTTGTAAACAAAATAAGGTGGTAGCAATTCACCATTTGCATTGCATCAAAACATTACAGAGAATGAGGTCTTTGTAGAATTAATGATGCGTTCAGGATACTTACATCCACACTTTGTTAATATTTTTTTTTACCTGGATCATCACTGAGATTGGTTTCATCATAATTCCATATATTATCAGGTGATATATTACTTATTTCATTTGATAGATTTATAAAGTAGTTATCAATCACTGTCGTTCCTATTTCTTCTCTCTTTCGCTTTATGTATAATCTTACTGTGAATTCTGGATTTCTTTTTAAAAAAGATCGAATCCAATCGCCACCTGGAATATTATTTTTGAACTGAGGTATAATAACGCCTTTTTTCTCTAAATACCCTTTTAATATGCATCTTAAACCATATTTATCAACAGGAAAACCAAACTCAGATGATTTTAATGCATATGCCTTAAGCATGTCTTCTTCTTTTGATATAAATATTTGCTGACCACTATACTTTTTAGGATATGTCTGTTTTATTTTATTTTTGAATGTTGATCTTGGTATATCATATTTCAAAGCTGCTTGTCTTTGAGTAATTAAACCATTCTTTAAATCTTTTATTGAATTGTCTAACTGTTCTAAAGTATTAGTAACATATTTTCTTCATATTTGGCTTGTAATTTTGTGGCATATTTAAACTAAGAACTAAATAAATTTCACTATAATTTTATACTGATTTACTAATAAAAACTGTTATACTGATTTTCTATTGCATAACAATTACAAAATTTTTCATTCCAGCATAGTAACTACCATAATATCTATAAATGATCTCTAAAAAAGGTTTACTCTAATACATGGGGTGACTTTAGCCCGGGCCAATGTCACCCTATGTAGTAGGCCAAAGACAACCTTTTTTTTTTTTAACCTCAATTACAAAAAAGAAAGAAACTATAAGGCTTTCAAAACAAGATAGAATCAAACACTAATGGTTTAAAACTAATTCAGTGTATATTCCAATAAAAAACCTTCTACAGGTACTGCTATCGATGTAAAAGTTTACACACCTAAAAAAATTCGGATTTTAGGTGCTTCTTCTAAAGTGCAATTTACAATAATATCACAAAGACTCGAGTTAAGTAAACTAAGTTAGACTAAATAAACAATAAATTTCCTACAATTTGCTACTAAACATCAACCGGCATACCTTGAGGTATCGATTTTAAACCATTTTTAAACAAAAACTTTGTTTGGGCTAAAGGGCCAAAAGGGCCAAAGCCACCCAATCTTACGGTACTTGATATTCGAATATATTTAAATGTTTTGGGAATATTTGATATTCAAATAATTTTTTCAATATATTCAAATAATTTTTTTAATAAAAAGGCATGATAAGCTTTGCAGCAAAATTTAATATAAGCATCAAAGTTAAAAAGATTATTAAAAGGAATTAAAAAAAACTTAGAACAAATTTTTACGAACTTTTTAAACAAAAAGATGAGCGAGTTTATATTTTGAAACGTTCAACTCATTTTTGTTTTCAAAATATTATTTTTTTAAAAAAAAAAACAAATAATAATTAAAAAGAATAAAACTATTCATTTTATGAATAAAATAACAATTTTTTGATTGAATTAGTGCTTCATATTTTTAATACTTTTAATAAGTTATTCGAGTATTCAAGTACTTTTACGTTTTAATACGTATTAT